GGAGGGGCGGCAAGGAAGGGAAGACCCTCGAGGAGATGGGTTGACGCTGTGGCTGCAGCAATGGGAGCAATTGTGAGGAATTGGACTGGACGGCGCTTTGCTCTGTTATGCACGGTCTCGCTATGGGTTGGCACTGGCTCGATGGCACCCAACAGCAACAGCCAGAAGCATAGAGTCCACGATTATAAGACATCCCCTAACGAATGACGGCCAGAAGGGCCAGGTGAGTGGACTACCTCCCAGGCAGTTTGGCTGCTCTTTCCAGGACATCCTTTGTCTCCGGTGCTGTTTGGCACTGGGAGCCATCAGAACTGGCTGCTAAGGGTGTCCACACCTAGGAAACTCAGAAAGAAAGCAAAGTGTGATTTGTGAGCATTTCCTTATTGGCATGTTTGGTTTGTTTTGAAATGCCAGTTCGGACTTCCTGTCATGCAACAAGCACCGCTGCTTTCTTATCGTTGCTTAGGAGAGTCAAGTCTCCATGTGTGCTCCCCTCCTCCTGCTCCTAATTTAGTTTTCTGATTTGACAGGCTCTTGGGTGGACACAAATCGCCACAGCCCTCTGAGAGAGTTAGGTCTTCCACGTCAAAGGTATCAGGGGGTGTAAGAATCCTTTCTTCCAGAACCATAGCTCAGGAAAATATTTACCTGGTGCGTGGTTTCACTTGACTGCATCAGGGCAGGCCAGGAGGCCCAAAGAAACGGCACGTACACAGTTGGAAGAAAAGGCCTCGCCCCCCCCCCCACCCCCCGAGGTACAGGGTGTTCCAGTGACTGTTATGTAAGCAAGCACGCGGAATGACAAGGAGCGGACGTCAGCCACACGGTGAAGAAGAAGGCAGGCAGCTGCCCAACCCTGAACTGACCAAGATCTGGACACAACCCCCTACCGCCATGGGCTCACACATAGCGGCGATTGTGAGAATGGCCCAGGGCTGGCCAGGGTCACTGTGAACAGCACTGACACAATAGCACCTAACCACAGCAGGGCAAATGATCCTGAGAATTGACAACAAGGACTGAATTGCATCCTCATACAACTATACCTGTGGAGGGAATCTCCTTTGGAAGGATAGTTTTCTTTGTGATGTTAATGAGGCCATCTCCGGTGTAGGGTGTGCCCTAAACCTAATCGCTTCTGTTTTATAAAAAGATCCAATCAGGTGCAGAAGCAGAGGTGAGAGATTCCACCCCAGGACCTTCTAGGAACCAGAGTCCGATGCTACAGAAGCTGATCCACACAAGGAAATTCCCAGAGAGAGCCTCCTCTCTACAGGATTCCCCGAATTCAGACTTCCAGCCTTTTGAAATGTGAGAAGATATATCCCCCGCCCTTTTTTAAAAAAAGAACCTCAAAATACATACATCCAATTCTAACAAAATTTAGATAAATAGCCCCACAATAATGGCAGGAGACAAATACACCATTTTGATAAACAACGAGAAAGAAACTCAACAAAGACACAGAAGAACTACACAGCACAATCAACCAACTTGACCTCATAGAAATATACAGAGCATGCCACGCAATGACAGCACAATGTACATTCTTTTCCAGCACAAATAAAACATTCTTCAGAACAAACAAGCTGTTAGGCCATAAAACAAGCCTCAATAAAGTTAAAACCTCAAAATACTGCAAAATACCATCTCATATCACAATACTATAAATTTTGAAGCCAACAGTTAGAAGATCAAAAGGGGGAAAAAAAATCAAATACATGGAAATCAAATACATCACACCCTGCTTAAAAACTAATGGGTAACAGGAGAAATTTAAAAATTAAAATAAAAATATCCTTGAATCAAATAAGAATGAAAATACAATATACCAAAGCAATGCTTAGAAGGCAATTCATAGCACCAGACACGCACTTGGGTGCTGTTAGGGGCCATCAAGCCAGCTCCAACCATGGTAACAGAATTAAACTGCACGATCCTGCACCGCCCTCTCTATTGTCCCTATGCCTGAGCTGACTGATGCAGCCACTGTGCTAATTGATCTCGCCAGGGGCCTTCTTCTATCCTGCTGCCCGTCCACTTTACCAAGCATGACGTCCTTCTCCATGGACCTGCCACTTCCCTTTTTAATCCACACAGTCAGCCTACTTTTGTTGCAGCAGCACAAGGCAATTAAGACAACAGATTCTGTGTCCAGCATGAAGCTGATGCTCCAGCTGTGGAAGGAGAACCCCCCCGATGCCAGACATGTCCTCCTCTTTAAGTGGAAGCAGTATAATCCTGCCGTATAAGGAGTCTCTGGGGCAGAACCCGGACAGTATGGAAAGCACGTGGCCCAGAATGATCACCTGGCTTTCCAGCGGCCCTCGGGTCTGCGTCAGCTCTTCATGTGTGTCTGGGTGAGCGTGCACTCCATAGGGTTGCCAGTCATGGCTGGCCCTTTGGCAGTAGATGGCCAGGCTTTATTCTGAGGTCCCTCTGGGTGCTTACAGTTAGCATCAGAATGTATTGCTGTCACATATCCAGGGACTCCCATTCCGTACTGTTGTTGGCTGTTGTTGAACTGATGCTGTCACGGCAACCCTTGTACAAAGCTGCAGAACTGGTCCACAGGGTTTCCAAGGCTGTGACCTTTCTACAGCAGCTCACCAGGCCTTTCTTCCAATGAGCCTCTCGGTAGGGTCAAACCACCTTCCAGCTGGTAGTTGAGCACGGACCTGTTTACACCGCACTGGAATTCTCATTCCCATTCCTTTGGCTCCTTCCTCCGGACTGGCGTCTCCTTGGGCAGAATGGTTCCCTCATTCTTCTGGCGCGTGTCATTCCCACATCCTGCTGAGCGGAATGCCAGCACCTGTTGTCTCCCCAGGTGACGCACTCCCGCTAAGAGATCTGCGCACCAGCTGCCCAGCCGGGTCTGCCCTCTGCCGAGGCAGGCCGTGTGGGCAGATCTCCCACAGCAACCTGCCCAGGTCAGCCTCCCCTCCAAGGGGCCACTCTTCGGCCACTCTCCACCTGGGCTGCCTTCCATCCTTGTCACCAAAGGGCATCAGATTGTGCGGCTCCTCCGCCCGTGTTTGACAGATGGTGACAGTGACAGGATGGCACCAGAGTCCTAACTCCCAGTCCTGCTTCCTGTTTGGCTCTTAGGAACAATTCTGCTATGAACGTTTGAGGACTAGTTTTCGTGTGGACATATGTTTTCATTTCTCTTGCATGGAATTACTGAATCATATGACCCTTAGTGTCAGGTTCCCTACTGGGCTGCTAATTGCAAGGAAGAAGTGTAGCCAGAGTGCTCCTCAGGGACAGGATGGTGTGTTAGTCTGGGTAGACTGGAGAAACAAAATCCACAGACACTCATGTTTGATGAGAGCAATTTATGTAAAGGGCAAGTGTACATTAAGAAATCCTCCCAACCCAGTGCTGCCCAAGCTCATAAGTCCAACATTAGCCTATATGTCCAACACCGATCTACAAAGTCCTCCTCAATCTTATAAAACACACGCAACGACGCTGACTGCAGGAGGAAAGCCACATCTCAGCGCTGGCAGGGGTCTCCACGTGGCTTCTTCAGCACCCAGGGCTGCATCGGGGTAGGTCCATGTGGCTTCTCCTCAGGGATGTCTCACAGGAAGTGAACCTTGCCAGCTGAGGCAGAGAACTAGCTAAGGCAGCCGCAACTGGTCGGACCATCAAAGAGCAAGAGATCAGACAGGCGAGGCACACTGAGCCATTTAATCTCTCTGCCCCTTCAATGAATCCCACGTGTCCATCGGCCAGGTTGGCACAATCAGCCTTAACTATCACAGATGGCAAGACGTTGTCTTGCATCCTTTGGACAGGAGAGACCAGTCCCTGGAGAAGGACGCCGTGTTTGGTCAAGTGGAGGGGCGGCGAAAGAGACAACCCTCCACAAGCTGGACTGACACTGTGGCTGCAACAATGGACGCCGTGGGGTTTCCTTCTGTTGTGCGTACGGTCGCCATGGCTCGGAGCTCACTGGCACCTAGCAGAAATCACAGGTGGATCTCCAGGTTGCACTGCTAATCGCACGTTGTAGCCCACCAGCCGCTGCCCAGGAGAAAGAAAGGTGCCGCTTTCCTCTCTCGTCAAGATGTACAGGCTCAGAAACCCACAGTTCTACTCCGTCCTATAGGGTTGTTATGAGCCAGAATTCACCCGATGGTAGTTTTACTTTCAAAATATATAATGTATTTAACCAGTTTCCTATTGATGCAAACATGATCAAATTGGTTCTTAACCACCACCATCCCCCACACCCACACACCCACACACACACCCGAGGTTGGCAGGTGATGGTCAGGTGGGCCAGGATGGCGAAGTGGGACTGGGAATAATGCTGCATTAGAGAACCTGCCAAAGTCTTCTCACCTGCTTCCCTTTCCCCCTCGGGCCTCCATTCTCGTGCTGTCCAGTGAAATCTACCCCAGCCCCTAGTGATGTGTGATTCAGGGGTATGAGAAAGAGAGGTGCCCCTCCTCCGGCCAGGCCCATGTGCCCACAGCCGCTGACCCCAGAGGGGAGAAAGTGACTTGGTCCCTCTGGATGGCCTCCTGGGCCGTCTCTCTCTGCCTGGGTTTCTTCATCCGGAAGGCAGCCGGAGAGGAAGCTGGTGACTTGACCGTGGAGTTTCCTGGCCCTGGGACAATGAGACTCTGCCACACCTGCAACAGGTGCAGAACAGGGGAATTCAGGAGCCATCTAGGTTATAAAGGGTCGGGCCAGCCTCCGGGAGAGCTTCCCACCACCGCTGGCCTGGAGGGGACCCGGCCGGGCTGCAGCGCACATACAGCTTTAGACTTTGCTGACAAGTCAATGCCAGGGAGGTTTTTTTCACTTTTGTTTCTGTTTTTCATCCGGACCAATCGACGACGGAGTGACTTGGAGCCGGGGTTAATTGAATGAGAGGAAAAACCCGCCCGCTTCCCCCGGGGTAGGTTTGTATTTGGCACTGCTCTGACCTTGTTGGGGGATCCAGTTGCTGCCTGCACCAAACGTGTCGCGGGCCTCTTTTGCCCCTCCATCCCCTCCGCTGCCCCTGGCAGCAGATGCAGCTACGCACGGGCCCAGGAAAAGACCACCGCATGGCACGTGAGTATCAGAGGATGCGAAGATGGGCGGTGCTGGAAGTGCTTGCTATTTTCCACTGTCAAAGTCAAAAGTCCACAACAGAAAGCTTCCACCCCCCACCCGGCCTCCAGAGGGTGTTTGTCCACGAAGGCGCGGCCTGGGGCACCCGGAGCCTTGTCAAAGGGAAAGGACGCCGGCAGGGGGTCTTCTTTCTTATAGCTGCATCCTCCGGCCTGAGAATAGCTTCACGTTCAGTAGTTTCCTCTCGGGCCTGTCTTATCCGTATTTGCTAGTGTTGGGTTACTCAGTCACAGCTCCCAGGAACTCCTAGGGTTAATTAAATAAGCTCTCTCACCCTAATTAACGTTCCTCGTGTTCTTGTTGGGTTGGTTGTTTTTAACAATTCTGGGGGAGGGGAGCTTCTCCTTCGAGTCCTTGGGTCCACACAGTTAACTGTGATGGGTCGATGGCTGGAAGGGAGGTTGAGCTCACCCAGGGGGCCTTTCAGGTGGTAGCCCAGTGCCTAACTGGTTACTTATGACACTTGGGGACTTGAAATGACATATACTGCCACCCACTCTCCCCCCTTTTAAAACATCATTGGTAGCATAGCATATGCGCGAAGACCTCGCTCTTTTCCTTACTAATCTGTAGGACCTTAAAAGCACACTACTTTGTCTGGCTGCGCCGGAGTCCGTGGAGCAGAGACTCCAGGCTGGATTTAGCCACTCCCAGCGGCTGCTCTTCAGGCTGTTTCCAAGCGATGCTGCAACGACTCACCTTTACTATATGTCATTCCATTCTGGGTCCAGCATTCTCTTTAGGGCCCATTTCCAGAGACGGGATCCCTGAGGGAGGTCCAAGTCCAACCGGTCGCCACGGCCTGCACTCTGACGGCTGGTGAGCCCCGAGTGTGTCAGAGTAGAAAACGATGCTGTATGATGCTTTCTCATTCACTGACCTTTCAGACGTAGCTCACCAGGCTTTTCTTCCCTGGCACCTCTGCGGGGTGCTCGAACCAGCCTTTTGGTTAGCAGCTGAGCAGAGAACAGCACCACCCAGACACCCCTGGGGCTTAAAGGTAAGCGGAAGGGTGATGTTGGTAGGGCTTGTCAACAGGCCCTCCAGTTGGGGCTGCCTGCATTCACCCGCTCATGGTGATGCTGTAACAGCCTGGCTCCCCCACAGGCAGCTGGGTGTCCTGACACAGGAAGGGTTTACAAACCTGATAGACAACAGAAAGCTGTCTTGTTCAGTGTTCATCACACGTCAGCCCTGGTGACTCGCAGCGACCCCGGGTGACAAAGTGGGCCAGGGGTTTTGTGGAAGCAGATCACCAGACTGGTCTCGCTCGGCACCACTGGGCGGTTTGACCCTTTCTCATCCTGTTTAGCTGCCCAGCGCTTTCCCATGGACACGGCCGGGCTCCTGGCGTGTTTTTCTTCAGATGAGTGACGTTGAGAGGGTTCTCTGTCTGTTTGTATTCCAGGTCTAATTCCTTGACCTGTTGCGAAAGGATAGCTGGATCTCAGGGCTACTGAACATGGTAGTGGTGTGGATTGCAGTGTTTGTCAGAGGAGGCTTGCTCCTCCTGGGGCCATGGTGAATAGGAATGGACTCGGCAGCGCATTTGAGAGTTTTCTGGTTTGTTGTTTTCTTAATACAATTTTAAAAAAACCATGTAAGAATTTATAACTTTTTATCTGGCTGAATTTCACAATGTGATGGGATTTTATTTATATTGTTTTTTCCTTTGTATTTTTGTGTTAGGCTTAGAAAGTATTTCCTAATCTGAATCGAAAAGAAAAAAACATCTAACATGTATTCCTCTAATCCTTTTCATAGTTTTATTTTTCAATATTAAAATATTTTAGTTATCTAGGCATTGGGGGAGCATGAGGTAAGAGTATAAGGTAAGACGGAGCATGACATTGTTCCAGTGTTAAAATTCATCTTTTCTAAATTGATTATAAAGGCCCCTTTCCTATGCATCAGATTTTAATTCCTGGCCTCTTCAAAAGAACACTGGAGAGAGACCTTGGGTTCAAACCCACCAGCCACTCCGAGGGAGAAAGATGAGGCTCTCTGCTCCCAGAAAAATGTACAGCCCCAGAAACTCTGTATAGGGTCGCTGCGAGTCAGAGTCACAGTGATGGCAGTGGGTCATTTACTGGCACATATTGATGGTGCTTTTATTCTGTTCCATCTACCTGCCTGCCTGCAACTAGGGCCACACTGTTTTAGCTATTATTGGTTTATTGGGAGAGAGTTTAGGAAGAGTTGTATGTGGGTTTGAGGTCCCTGGGTGCTACAAATGGTTAAACATTTGGCTGCTAATCAAAACATTGGCGGTTCCAACCCAATGAGGGCAAAAGATGTGGCAGCAAAGGAAAGCCGGTGGGGCTGTGCTACTCTGTCACATAGGGGTTCAACTCGATGGCGCCTGGCAACCACATCATGTGGCATGTCCTATCCAGTAGCTTGATGTCTTTAATTCTTGATTTCAAGTATGGCTAGGCATACATGTTGGCTTCAACAAGGAGAGTCCCTGTAAGCAGTGTCCTATTTATACCACTCTGGGGAGGACTGTAGATGCCTGGTTTGGCCAGGTAGCCCTCAACACAGGACAGAAGGTCTCATCTGAGCCTCTCTGTTTCTCAGTGACCAAGTGGACTCTTCAGAGGGGCCCCAACCAGACCGGGGGTCTGCTGTGGCAGCTGCCAAGGGACCACATGGAGGGGAAGAACGATACCAACTCCACCAGGGCCCTGAAGCTCTCAGATGGGATGAGTGCTGCCTGGTACATCCTCACCATCATCGGCATCTACGGCATCGTCTTCCTCTTCCGGCTGGCCAGCAACATCCTCAGAAAGCACGACAAGTCCTTGGAAGATGTATACTATTCGAATTTGACCACCGAACTGAAAAACAGAGGGCTCCAGACCAGTGCTGCCGCATGCTCCGTGCTCACCATTAGCAACAGAGCCGTCCTGGGACCCAACCAGGCCAGCCCAGGGCCAATGTGTGCAGCCAGCCAGTCCCAAACCGGAACCCAGGGGATTTCTTGAAAGTCAAGACAAGCTGGCCTCCACCAGGGAGGTCCCAAACATCTAGTTATGGAGCAGCTGTGGGTTTACCTCACGAGAGGGCTTGAGCCTTGAGTGGGGATAACAGAGCAACTCTGAGCTATGGGCACTTAGGGTGGACGCAGTTGTGATCAGATCCGGCATCCTGTTTTCTTCTGCAGATTTCTGGGGCATGGAGAACAGAGAGCAGGGGCAGCAGCTTCCAGCCTTGCTCACACTTCACTGGGAAAACCCGTGAGCTTCAGAAATGGGCAGGGGCACAGCAGACCAGGCTGGATGCCGAAATTGAGACCCAGGGTTCTCAGGAGTATCCAGGAGATTCCTGGGCTGGGGTGGGGGGTAGGGGGCCGGAGTGTACAATGAGTCAATTGCTCACTGAATGAAGCGGGGTTTGGAGTCAAACACCTTCCATGAAACTCTGGGGATGGGGGAAGGGAGTCTCATCAAGTCTCATTCTTTACCTACATGAGGGTTGGGATCAACGGTCCCACTTATTCTAAAGACTCTGGCTCTAATTGAGGACCCCAGATGTTTATAAGAGACGATAACCAGGAATTCTTTATTGTCTTGGAGTGGCCCAGTGAAAAGAACATTAATTTTGGAAGCAGAAGACCCAGACTCTAGTCTGGATTTGATTATCAACCACTTCCGTGCCTTTGCACATACCTCGTTACCTTTTGGGACTTTAGTTTCTAAGCAGGTTGAGGGATGAGCGAGAGGGCAGTTCTGCCACCTTGACAAGGTCAAAGAGACCTCACTGTGCTAATGCTTATGAACCTGTTTGAAAAGTAAAATACATGTGTAAACAAAAGCCTGGTGGTGTGCTATTGATGCTGACCGTGGTGGTGGCTGACGATGGCGGTGGGATGGTGGTGGTGGCACATGGTTGACAATGTTATTGATGCTGCTGGTGGTGATGATTGGTAGTGATGGTGGTTAATATTGACTGTGCTGGTGGGTGGTCATGGTGGTGGTGGAGGAGGAGGATGGTAGTGATGGTGATTTATTGTGGAATAAGAAACAGGTGGTTAGTGAGTTACAGCGTGGGCTACTAACCACCAGGGCTGCAGTTGGAAACCCTGGCCATTCCATGGGAGAAAGAGGAGGCTTTCCTATCCTATGAAGATTTAGAGCTATAGAAATCCAAAGTGGCATATCGACTCTGTCCCATCGGGTTGCCCTGAGTTGGAATGGAGTCAACAGCAGGGAGCTCAGTTTGGTTGAGTGCATGTGCAATGAGTGACTGAGGATGGTGTACGACCTTTGTTCTACAAGAACCTGTCTGCATGCAGGTGAAGGCTGTGCTATGACTTTCCATGTAGACAGAAGAGCCACTCATTTTAAGGTGCAGTCACACAATATGTAATCATAGGATTCATAAACATGTTTTATACATGTGTTACTTGTATGTTTGTGCCTATGCCTAAAGAACAGGTGATGGTGGGGTGGAGTGGAGTGGGGAGACCAGAACTGAGCTACAGGACTGCTTAATTAAAGGCTAGTATGATCAGCTAAATGTCTAAATGACTCTCAGCAAGCTAAGAGAACAATTATACGTTAGACTCAAAATTCTATTTTGAACCAACTTCTGTGAAGTCCATCTGGTTGTGTGTGAGGAGACATCTCATGGTCTAGAGGTGAAATAGTATTTTTCTTATCTGAAGAGAGTCATCCTTAGGACTTCCTGGTGAGAAAACCAGGCAGGAAACCTTGGTGCCCCCAAAAAGATGTTTACAACAGAGCCGAGCACTTGATGGGTAAACCTCACTACGGGGCCGGAATAAAGGAAACGGGCCTTAATGCCAGCCGCCACCAGCAGCAGTGGGCTCCTTAGAGCCACTGGAACACTGGATGACGGGAAAGCAGCCAGCAGCGGTGCTATTGGGTCTCCAGGAACCACCATCCATGTCCGAATCTTCCAATGACATGGGCTTCTGGGTGGCTTCCCTGTGTGAACAACATCCCGAAGGTAACTCTGGGGTTACCATGATGATGACCATTTGTCAGGAAGGCGCTTGCCACCCCAGCCCCCATTCATGTTCTTCCAGGCATGTTTAAAACCCCGACCATCACACGTGCCTTATGCACCCCACTGCCCCGGAGGCCCAGAGAGCATGCTCAGGCATGCACCTCTATTAACTCTATTAACACAGCAGCAAGTTGCTCTGGGCGCCAGCCGGACCGGCCTCTCCTTCCACACCCCCTGCCTGGCAAGCATGCTTAGAATGTGGAGCTATATTAAGAAGTGTAATTAGTAGAGAATAAATGAAGTGGCGGAGCCCAAACTGTGTCCCCTGCTGAGGCCGGGCCTGTGTGAGCCTGGATGGTGAAGGGAGGAGGGGACAGCTGCTGGAAGAGGAAGAAGAAGGCAGGATAAGCTCTGGGTCTGAGAGCTCCCAAGTCCAAGTCCAGCCTTGGCCGGCGCTCACGCTGAGCCGTGGTGATGGGCGCAGAAGTGGAAGCGGTCTACTGGCTAAAGCTAGTGGAACGTGGCTGCCTCTCTAAGAATCGGGGCTGCTCAGAGGGCAGCAGGGCCGGCAGCCACTGTCTACTGCAGGAAGGAAACTACAGAGAAACCTGGAGTTTGTGGTCAGACGGCTCCAAGCTTGAACTTCCTTCCATAGCCCTAGCAGCCACGTCCGGAAGAAATCTGCTCTGGCTGCGGAACTCTGCTCCAGAGGCCAACCGGAAATCCGATTTGCAAACACCTGTCTGGGCGCTTCAATCTAAGCGCTGCTCTTGCCCAGACAACAGGGTGCACTTGTGTTAGTGCATCAAAATATTCATCGTTGTGCATCTTCCTGCTTTATTTGCATAAAAATATCATCACCATGACTACTAAGAAAGCCAGCCATACCAGCAGGAAAGCTAAGAGGAAAACTGAGAACCACGACAGAGTGACAGAAAGCAATCATGAAAAATTTGAATCAGGTCGCTGCTTGTCTGATATAGTGGCTGAATACAACGTGGCTCAGTCGACATTATGAACATTTATTGGGGGGAAAAGTGTGATTAAAGTGGCTAACGTAGCATAAGGTGTGAAATCTCTGTGTTAGTCCAGGTAGACCAGAGAAGCAAATTCATAGACACTCATATGTATGTAAGAAAGAGTTTTATATAAAAAAGTAATTGTGTATTAAGAAAACATCCCAGCCCAGTCCAGATTAAGTCCGTAAATCTGATATCAGCCCATATATCTGATACAAGACTGCTAAATTCCTCTTTAGACTCACACAACACATGCAATGACACTGAGAGCAGGAAGCTCACAAGTCAGTGGGTGGAAAGTCTTGTGGATCCAGTGGTGGTGGAAGCATCTCAGCACTGGCATGGGTCTCCACGTGGCTCCTCCAGCTCCAGGGCTCTGGCCACCATCAGCATAGCTTAAGGTGACCAGATTTAACATTGGTAAAGCGGGACAAAAGCAGGACACCGTTGATAAAACATATCCTGGCGAAATTGCCACATGGCAGCCGAAAACTGTATACTCTAGCTTGTCCTGCATTCTTTCCAAAAATCAGGGCTTTTTAAAAACGCTGCGGGATGCGGGGGAAAATTGTTAAAAATCAGGACTGTCCCGCCAAAAGCAAAACGTCTATTCACCTTAGCATAGCTCCATGTGGTTTGTCAGCAGGAATATCTGGCAGGGAGTGTGTCCTGCCTCCAAATGAGGTCACCAAGCTGTGTCATGGTTGACAGGCTAAACTCCACTCCTCCACTCTTAATAGTCTCAAATCGACAACAGATTATGTAACTACCAAAATCATTAACCACAAAACAAATAACCCAGACCACTAAACAGCTTGAAAAGTGACTTAATTTGGATAAATCAGAAACAACTCCATGGCGGCAGCGTATCCGAGACAGTGATATGCTAGAAGGCTAAAAGCCTCATAGTGATTCAAAATATATTTATAACCGTAATTTTTGAGTCTCAGAACCAATTCTTGAGTTTCCATGATTTCTTATGGGAAAAATATGTTCAGTTCTGGGCCTTTTCGGTACTCTATCACAAATATGGACGGAATTAAGTTCAACACCCGAGTTATCACTGTAACATGTAATGTATACTTCCAAGGACTACGGAGCCCTGGTTGCAGTGGCTAAAGTACTCAGTACTCTTAATCAAAAGTTCAGCAGTTCGAACCCACCAGCCACTCCACAGAAGAAAGATGTAGCAGCATGTTTGGGTAAAAACCTTGAAACTCCATGGGGCCGTTCTACTCAGTCCTGTCGTATCACGTCGCTATGAGTCAGAACTGACTTAATAGCACCAAGTACTAGGAGTCCCTGGGAGGTGAAAATGGTTAGTGTGTTTGGCTGCTAACCTAAAGCTGGAGGTTTGAGTACATGTAGAGTAACCAGGAAGAAAGCCCTACGGAGCAGTTTTACTCTGACACACATGGGGTGGCCGTCATCAAGTCAATGGCACCTGGTACTGATACCAAACACCAGGGACTTTGACACATGTTCACCAGTGAGAGTCTTGGAACTCCCTGAGCCAAAGCCAAACTAACTGCCATCAAGTCAGTTCCGACTCACAGTGACCCTGAGGGACAGCACAGAACTGGCCTGTGGGTTTCTGCGGCTGTCCATTTTTATGAGGGCAGAAAGCCTCATCTTTCTGTTCAAGAGCAGCCGGT